ATCATCACCATCACCATCACCATCCTCCTCCTCCTCTTGAATACTGGAAGTGAGGGTGTGGTTCTTATATTTGGTGGGATAGGAGCGCCTGCAAATAATGCTCACTTGTGAGTCCATTCTGGTTGCACTTCACCCATGGCAGCGGTTCTCAGGAAGCATTATCCACCGAATTAAGCTCCAGCATATAAGCCTGCAGTACTTTCCTTGTTGAAGAATTAAAGTTAGGGTGGGGAAATACAGCAATCTAATAAGGGATCTAAAACTGGATTAAAATTCCCAGCATAATTATCTGAATCACAGCCAAAGTAACAAGATATTTAAAACATTTGTGTAATGAATGTGAATTTCCCCTAGCAGATGCTTTGAAAATGATTAGAAAGGAATGCTTCAGACTTTGCATCAGGGCACCATCTTTCTGTTCTTCATTCAAAAAGCTGGAGTTATTTTCCAGGCTTCCGAGTGACCCTGAAAATAAGCTGCTGCTGCTGCTGCTTTAAGAGTCACATTAACTTGAATTAGTAGATTCCTTAAAGGTCAAAGCACTGCTTCTGGATCATTTGCAAGGCATGCGTGGCCTTATTATATACCATGAATGCTGGAACATGGCTATGCATGAAAGGGTGGTGTCACTGCCGTTATCTGTATAAAAATGTGCATAATCTACCTTTTGTCCCTCTCTTTTTCTTTTTCTAGAGATGTATTACAGATCTACATGATACTTTGCCTAATTGGAAATCTCTCCCCAACCCTGGACAGCCAATTCCAGAAAGCTCATCAAGAATTTGTACATGTGCTTGATAGTAGGATGAGGAATACAGACACGGTGAGCGTACTTTTCTTATATCCTCATTTTCTATTGTGTTAACAATTGGCACTGAGCTCAGTTTTTCACTGTAATTTTGGGAGTGCTAGAGTGCATGAAAGAAAGGAAATGTATAACTCATAAGTGAGCCCCCCGGGATTCTTCCCCTCCAAATATTAAATAGGGGACAGAGGATAGTGACAATATCTTTTCTCTTTTTAAAAATAATACGGTCTGGATGGTGGACTTTCCAACCAAGTGGAACAAATACTAGTAACAACAACTACATTCTGGGCACTTTCCACAATTAGCCAGAAGTCTTTTGTTGATGGCCCAAGGAGCCACTATGTTCCTTGATAATATTTCAGATATGCAAATGCTTTTTCCTGAGATAGCCTCATGACTGACCAGTAGTGGTCATTGCTACAGATGCAATATTATTGCTTATTCAGCAATACTGCCTCAATCCACAGAAGCTGTGGAAGGGGACATGCTCTTCTTCTGAGCTGCTATGAGTGGGCTTTTGCCTGTTGTTGCTGCTACCAACAGCCACATTTTATTTTTACAAAGAGGAGGAAAACACTACTCCCACCGCTTGTCCTAGTAAGGCTTCTACTCCCTGTCTCCAAACTGAAGTGCTGCTCCACATTCATGCACTGCAGAAGGATGTGGGATGTTTTTATGTCATGTTGGAAGGGGCAGAAGAAGCACGTTCTTGGGTGTAGCTCTTGTATATTTTTGATTGAAAGACATACCCTCTCTTGGGGCAAGCAGGACTCCTGGGGACTACATGGATATGCCTATGTAGTTTTCTTAATGGCAGTACAAAAGTAGTTTGCATGGGCTTCTTCCAGGATTTTTTTTTCAACCCTAACCCTAACCCTAACCCTAACCCTAACCCTAACCCTAACCCTAACCTAAACTCTGGAATTTTCTGGGTGGACTTTTTTTTTTAATCCTGCCTTTATTATTGTGGACTTTCATCCACAACCAGATTCAGCTACCTGCTCCCACTTGCTATAGACTCATTTTTTATACTTGTTCAAAATTTCCAATTTTTTATTTCATTTTAATTATTTTCAGATGACCACTGAGCGATGGAGGAAATGCCTGAGTGACACTAGCACATTCTTTGGACCTGTTCTTGGGAAGATGGTTGTGCAGGAGATTTTTCCCCAGAAGGCCAAGGATCTCGTAGGTATTCAATAATACCAGATACTGACTTATTATTCCATATTCTCTTCTGCTTTTCCACCAATATGCTTATGTGGTATGTTCTATGCCTATCCATAGCTAATCTTAGCTAACAGATTTCATTAGAAATGGCAGGAGATACTCTTGCACTATAAGGGGGTTCTGTCAGTAAGGAAACAAAGTGGTATCAGATAAAAGATGCTCTTCAGCATCCTGTCACCCTATTTGATATTATCCACCACTCCACACAAAAGAACAGGTGGCTAGACTTAGTTTCTCCTTAACCATTCCTTTCAAGGATGTTTCCATATCTGTAAGTTCTTATTTTTAAAGGTTAGTAAGTTCAGTCCAGTTTAGTCTTAGGGTTTATGTGCAAATACAGGCAATATGCTTCCCTACTTCTGGGGATCTCTTTCCTCTCTCTGGCCAGGCAGAAGAGATTTTTTCTGAGATCCGAGATGCCCTTCACAGCCATCTAGATCAAGTTAATTGGATGGACTCCCAATCCCGCCAAGAAGCCAAGGAGAAAGTATGTCAGTCTATTGTGATGCTTGTTTGGGCAAGGTTGTTGGAATGGATGACTGTAATAGAATTTCAATCTAGGGAATGTATTCTCCAGCTCAGAGGCTTCAGAATTAGTGTCCATGGCTGGAATGGAGTCCAAGTGTAGGAGCCAGAAGCTGTACATTTCTGAGAAGTCAGAAACCAGTCAGTATTTATTCCAGCACTTACCAATTCAGAAATTTTATACTGTGTTCCTGTAACATAGGATAAAACCATGGCAATGATGTCAGTGCACCCTTTACCTTTAGAGGACTCCAAGATTAAGGTTCTATAGGCATGTAATTCATCAGTCTAATTCCAGCCATGGACCAGAAACTTTCCCATTCAATCTTTAATGGCCTTTGAGTGTGGTCTGCATTGTAGAAAGCCTGGATTACTCACTGCAGCGAATGAATGCAAGGGTTGCAAGCAGGGGCAGATCATAATCTCGAGTAATAGCAAGTCGCTTATGAAGAATGCCCTTGCTTACATACCTAAGCCAATAGTCCTTTTTTCCCCCCATCTAATTTCATAGGTTCAGGGTAAATAACTAATCTCTATTTTCATATTTTCAGATTTATAGACTCCAAGTGGAGATTGGCTATCCAGAAAGCATCCACCAAACAAACAAAGCTGACGATGAGTATCAAGAGGTAGAGGTTAAGCACCACTTGCGATTTGGCTTCCGATATCTTTGTTTCAATATCCACTGAAGGATGGGTCTTAAGGCACAGAGAAATATAATTGCTGCTCTCCTACAGTTTCAGCTACTAGAAATTGAATCAAAGACATAGCTACTATGTCATGGGCTCTCCCTAGGCCAGGGGAGTCTGCCAAGAGGGTCAATAACATCAAAATGGCAAGGACAAGCAGGTGATTGAAGCCCCACCCCCTTTTAACATGTGTTAAACACATTGTAATCTAAAAAAGGGTGGGGTTTTGATGATCCTGCTCTATGCCTGTCATTTTGACAGTTGATCTCTGCCCATTAACACTCCTACCTCAGGTAGTCTCTTGGGTTTATAAAACAGAACTGCCCAGTTTTCAGTCTTACAAACAAAGTGAGTGTATTATTAGAAACTTTTAAAGTATCAGCCTTATATAGGATGGCAGTGGCTAAAGAGCCACTGTCAGTTCTGTGTCTAACTGCATGTTAAATGTGTTACCTATAGGTTTTCATTTGTTTGTTTGTTTTGAATTAATGGTAACCATGGTCACTCTTGCTCTGTTGGACGTCCTGCATATGGGAAAGGGGGACGTAGTAAAAAAAATTGCTCAGCTTGCAGCTGGAGAGGAAAGGATTAAACCAACTTATTTCTTGCAGCAATTCCATGAAAGGTGATGGGGGAGGGATATTCTTAAAAAGGCAGATAATATATAGTGAAACTCGCACCTGCCAAATGATTGTGCCTTTGTAGAGCTACAGATTTATAACCTGTTGATAGAAGCCTAGAGGAGAGATGGAAGAATTAGATGCCAAAGATGATTTGTGCATAGTTATTTGACAGAGTCAAAACCTAAAGTCATTGCAGGGAGAACCAAGAGATGAAGAAGAATAAAAATAACATTTATTGCCTTTGCTGAACATTAACTAATAGTCATTGACCCCCCATTTCTAACGTTATTGTTTGCTACTTTGTTCAGCTGAAGATTGAGGAGAATAACTTTTTCCACAATGTGGTTGCCTGCCTGAAGTCTCTGCAGAAAAGGCTCTTGCTCAGACTTGTCAGTCCCCATCTGCACGATAAGTATGTTTTTCTTACCAGATGAATAAACTAATATCTTGGTTTTCCACATCCTCCTCTGCTATTGTTCTATGGTTTGTTCCCCCTGGCTTCCAGTGTAATCTATAGGATTAGACATTTTAGAAAAGTTCAGAACTAATTGTCTGCTATTACTTTAACTCAACATATATTTTTCTTTATAGACTATTGATGCACCCTTGTACACATGTACAATTGAGTGAAGACTTTTTTTTTGCAATTTGCACTGATGTGTGTATGTATTCTCTCTCTCTCTCTCTCTTTCTCTCTCGTGCTGGACTAGGAATGGGGAGACCCAGGTTCTAGTCTTTCCTTGGGTACAGAAGCCAGCTGGGTGACTTTGGGCCAGTCACTCTATCTCAGTCAATCTTCCTTATATTGGGAATTTGAAAATATAGATTTGCCAATTTGCACTGGACTATTGTGGTAGATTATAGTCCATAACTTCAGTGAACAGACCTTCACTCTACAGTGGATTGATTTAGCTAGATGATGATGATATGTACTACACACACAACATAATATACATGAGTAATCTAATAAGGTGAAAAATAGATGGAGATTAAAAACTTAAAGTGATTCTGTCTGAACACAAGCCAAATTCAAACAACAAAATCAAATTCAAAACTTCAGATTGCTAATGCATTGGTGCCTGCTGAAAAGATCAAGGAATTTGGAAACCTAAAAGCTGTGAAGAACTTGGCATGTGAAAAACTCACATAGTGACATGTAAGAACCCGCTATGTCAGTGAAAAGGAGAGAGAGCTCCAATGAAAACAATTACTTCCTCCCTTTACTGTGATTTTTTTTTTTTCATTTCAGTTGGGAAGTGGCTCCTTGGTCTGTCCATTCCTACTATTCACTGAGGCGCCATGCTGTAGTTTTTCCTGCTGGGATGTTTCGCAATCCTTTCTTCCATACTGAATTTCCCAGGTAAGAAAAATGGCAAAACTGCTATAAAAATCAATGGTCCAAGCTGGCTGGAGAATACAATCCTGAAATATTTGGGTGCCAAGACATGAAGGGAATTATAGGTCAAAACCAGCATCTTAATTTGGATCAGAAACCAACCGGCAACCAACACAGGCTCCATAAAACCAGTGTTATATGTTCCCAATGTCAGGAACCCCAAATCATGTGGGCTGCTGCATTTTAAACCAACTGCAGTTTCTGAATGTTCTTTAAGGGCAGCCACAAGGAGATCACATTACAATAGACTATATGGGTGGTGATAGGGGAATGAATGACTGTTGCCAATCCTTCTGACCCAGGTTGGTACATCAGTTGGACTTGGGTGTAAGCCCCTCTTGCTATGGCTTCCAACTGTTAATGCAGCATGAGCTGTGAGTCCAGTAGGGCTCCCAAGTCTCAATCCTGCTCCCTGATGGGTAGTGCTGGCCCATCAAGGAGTAGTTCTTGGAGCTACAGAGGACCCTGCTTGCCAGGGTTCAACTTAAGTCTGTTCTCCCCCATCCAGACCCTGACAGCCTCCAGACTATTTGGTACATTTTACACCTAGACAGCTAATAAAACACAGTCTACGGAAACTTCTAAGATCTACCATATCTGTTTTCCAGTGCTGTCAACTTTGGAGTCATGGGTTTTTTCATGGCACATGAACTACTGCACTCCTTATATGATTATGGTATGTATTGTGAGAAATTGTGGATAACATATTGACCATTCCATTATTTGCATTTGGAGGACCTTTTTTGGTAAGGCCAGAACTGAAAAATCAGGTGCTATAACTCATTTACAAAGCACCACTGAATGGGTGAGAGATGTGATTTTCAGTGGTAAATGTTATGTAGGCAACTAATGCTTAACTCTGTCCCCTTTTCATCTGATACTCTCCCATCCCATCCCTTTTTTCCCAACAGAATTACAGACCCGCCTTCTTTTTTAAAATCACAAATGTATGGTTTTGGGACCTGGGGGGTGGGGTGGGAAGAGGGGCTTCCTTGTGTATACCACCTGGCCCTTGCAAGTTAGCACTTTCAAAGCTGTCTTGCCAAGAAGAAACAGTGCCTGAATACATCAGACAGGTATGACGTAAGTAATTTCAGAATAAAAGAGTAACATACCAATTGTTAAGCATACAGCATGGTTAGAACAATATTGAAATCCCCACTGAAAAGGAATAGCTCCTTTTGGGCTCCTGTGTTTTTCTTTAACAATATGGTAGATCCATTCTTCAAGGAGAAAAACATCTTAGGCTCAGTTTGTGTTTCATCCTTTCCCCATATGTATTCTCCATTCAGGCAGAAAGTACCTTTATTCATAACATTCAGAACTATTTTAATGAAATGGAGAAAACTGCCCCAAACTTTTATTAGATTTAGCTATTACTCTAGAGATATTCTGCTACAATTTTAATTCTGCTACAATTTTGTTATAAATGCTTTGGGCATTTTGCTCTCTCTCTCTCTTTCTCTCTCTCTCTCTCTATTTCAGTTGAATTCTAACATGTAATGAAGTCCTATAGAGTTCTGCTTTTCTCCATTCAAAAATCTACTAAAGCCCCCTCTTTTAAAAAATCATTAAAATGGCCTGAAAATAAATTACATTTTTAAAAAGTACTTACATCATGGAAAGATTGTGTGAAGCCTGTATCATAAAATGTATTGGAGCTAAAGATATTTTTTCCTTATGTTAAGAGAAGATTTGTGGGCAATTTATATTAACACTGATAGAATTTAGGGGGAAATGTGTCAGGGCTCAGCATATGGCATGGCGCTGAGAGTAAATGGCTATGAAATATTCTACAATTGTTTCGGTCTGTTGAAAAACAACAACGGTAGATTAGAAGATCATCTTATTAACCCCATAGCCTTGAGAGAAATTCTAGAAATCTGCACAGATTTTCACAACAATCAAACCACCTGCTGAAGTAATATCTAGTCATTATAGATTCAAGGACATAGGAAGGACTTTGAGGAGGGAAAGAAAAGTTTTTTTTTTAAATCTGTTTGTTTAATGGGACTACATAAACATACACAGTTATAGTGGCTGGAGAGACCCATGATCACAAATGACTTTCTTTCTGGATTTTTTTTTTAATTAGATTTTTTTTTTAGATTTTTTAAAAATCCCATCTTTATTTCTATAAATAACTCAAGGTGATGAACATACCTGATACTCCTTCTTCCTCCTATTTTCCTTACAACCACCACCCTGTGAGGTGAGTTGGGCTGAGAGAGAGAGAATGACTGGCCCAAGGTCCCCCAGCCGGCTTTCATGCCTAAGGCGGGACTAGAACTCACCGTCTCCTGCTTTCTAGCCTGGTGCCTTCACCACTAGACCAAACTGGCTCTCCTTTTTCCTAGAAAACAAAATGTTCCTTTTGTTTACAGTGTTGCCCAAGAACTGTTCTACTTGTGGCATGGATATACCAGCAGAAGGTAAAGATTGTCTGGTGAAACAATATGAGAACTACTCCCTGAAGGGCCATGGTGTCAATGGCTCCTTCACACTCCTGGAGAATTTAGCTGATACTGGAGGACTTGCCATTGCTTACCAGGTATCCGAATCAGACCACGTGGGAGAAATTGGCTGGGGTTTCACTTTAAAACAAAGTGACTTCATTTGCACTTGATAGATTAGAATAGCCCATAGTATAGTGATGTGAACTGTATACTGTTCAGAACTTCACAGAGTGGTTTTCGGCTCCTACGAAAGTCTCGCAAGACTGTGTTTGAAAATATCCATAGGAACTCAGTACAAAATCCATGTGAAAGCATGTGAAGGTATAATGCCAGGATTTTCCTTTCTTTTTTCTTTTTTAATTAAAAAAGAGGCAATAGCTAGGGAGACTAATTGTGGAAAGGCAAACCACAAAAACTATACGAAAGTACATTGAGCAAAGCAATATGTAGTAATTATATTTTAAAACGTCAATATGACCCGCAGGTTGATAGGTTTATATACATTTAAATAAGCAATAGAAGCGATTTCACACATAATGCACAGAAAACCCATATGATTTTGCTATAGATGTTCATTTGACAAAGATCTGCAGCTGACCCTGTAACCTTGATGGCTGCATATTTTTGCAAAGACCCCAGCAAAGTTTTCCTTTCTTGCTCAGAGATGTTGCTTCCCTTAAGACACAGTGAGAAACAAAGTGTCAAGACAAGAAAGACGTCTTGAAGCCTCTGGGCTAAAGTGAGAACTACTTGATGCCCCAGACATTACTTCTGTACAAGCGATTCTCTCCACCAGATCGGGAGGAGCCATGGTGCTAATTTTGAAATGCCATAAAAGGCTTTGCTCACTCAGCCAGTGGATTATTTAAGAAGGATGAGAAATCAGAATGGAGATTTTGTAATATGCAAAGATCTCTGGAGTGATTATTCATTTCTTATCAAAGGGCCAGCTAAGAGCTAGACCATGACACAAAGTAATGTGCGTGGGTCGTATCAGCAGAAGCACCAAGGAAAGAATAAACATTGTTTATTCTCTAGGTACCTAATTAACCTAACCATTGGGGATGCAGTATAATAGTAATGTTTCATTAAAGCCCCCAGATTTTATTTCGTAGCCCTAGATGTCAGCCAAGATCGTGCTGCTGAAACTCGATAATAAAACATTAAATAACAGGAGCATTTCTGCCATTCGGGGCAAGAAATCCAAAAGAATAGAAGCATTAAGACACCAGGATTATCATGCATTTATTAAAGTGTTTTGTATTTGTTTGTTTCTCAGGCTTATATGCCACTTTAGTCATAAACCACCTCTGAGCAGCATACACCCCAATCCAGTAACAAAATGTGGTTATGAAATATAACAATATAATACATAATATATGAATCAATCACATCACACCAAGGAAAAATCATGCCAAAATGAAATCATCCTTACTGTGGAGTAAGAACCCAACTCTCAGTACTGGGGTATCATCCTATCTAGAACCAAGGAAGGGATGTTCCCAGACTCAGTTGGTTTCCGAACTCAAAGGAAGCCATTTCAACTTGCTAGGTTTAAGCCTGAGTTTTTTCCTTCCCATCTAGATCCTTAGAGCCTCCAAAACTGAAATAACATCTTCACCACATCTCCTGTTTATTCCAGGCTCAAGATATACACCTCAGTACCATCAGGATATTGGCAATACTTGATAGCATGTGGGATGAATGACCTTCCCCAGCAGTTTTGTATAGATAGTAAATAGGAGGGGAGAGAGGATTGAGCCTTGGGACACCCCGCAACAGGGACTCTGACATCTGATTGAAAAAGGTTCTGGAAGAAGGAGGAGAACCACTGCAAAATAGTGTCCCCCACTTCCAACTTCTGGAGATGGTCCAGAGGGATTCTTCCCCTCCCGTCCAGCCATGGTTCTGCTTTTTTAAGCGGGGTCCCACCCTCCAAAAGCTGCCATGCCTGCATGATTGCTTACTCATTTAACATCATACCCAGAAGTATAACATGCATTTATTTATTTTCTTTCTTTTCCTCACAGGCTTATGAAAACTGGTTGGCAAAGCACAAAGGGGTAACAAATTTACCTAGGTTTGGGCTGTCACACCATCAACTCTTCTTTGTCAGCTTTGCCCATGTAATTCATCCTCCTTTTTTCCCTGGTGCCTTTAGTTTGCTTTGTTTTTTGTTAGTTTTTAGCAGACTCAATCCTTTAAATATTCACAACCTTACCTACTGCTTTTACATTTCTTGGAATATTGTGTAGCTATTTTCCCTTAAGTCATATTGGGAGCATCTAAAGCTCAATAACTGTACAAACATCCCACAAAAATATGTTGCTTGTGGCAGGAGGAGAATACCAGTGTGCTTCCTTTCCACTTTCAAAGGGGCCTCCTCTCTCTGAACAACACAAGTCCACAAGTTGCAAATTTGGCTTAAGAAAGACCTAACAGTGTGTCATATGATGTACACAACTTGGGCCAAATTGTGGGCTCCCTGTTACTGAATCAAATAGGAGTTGAGTACCTATACACAAAAAACTGCATTACTGAGCTCCTGTTTGATGATGATGATGATGATGATGATGATGATGATAAATAATATCATCCACTTTGTGGGCATACATATGATAAGAGAGTATACTGTATGTAATCTTTTCTCTGCACACCTTTCCTTTGCTCTCAGTAGTTCTCCAGCATGAGTGGCTTTTTCTCTCAATATTTGCACTAGGAAATGGGTGTGGTTATTTTGTTTGGTGTTTCTCTGTGCTGCCTTTCTCCTCCAACCTGGAGCTGAATGTTTGGAAACAGGGGTGTAAGAGACTATATGGAAAAATGACTCTTTGATATTGCTGTTCAATATTTATAATCATATGTTTTCCACAGGCAATGTGTGGGTACCAGAGCCTTGAGAGTCTGCAAGCCTTCTTACACAGGGATCCCCACAGCCCCTCTCCCCTCCGTGTGATTGGGTCTTTAAGCAACAGCCAGGATTTCTCTAGACATTTCCAATGTCCAAGTGAGTCACCGATGAATCCAACTCTTAAGTGCCACATCTGGTGAGATGATCTCAAGAGCAGATGGGACAGTTAATGCAGAAGACAGAGATTGGGGCTATAAAGTCATGATTCAGTATGTCAATCATGCTTGTTGCAAGGGTCTATTCCATTCCTTCATGGTGCAGTGCTGCTTCCCCCACTCCTGTTCTCCAACTGTCTATGTGAAAGAAGGTTCCATCCATTTATGAAAATGGAAAAGAAGAGAACATACTGCACTGTGGACATTCTCTACTACTTTTAAAAAGCATTTTGTAAAAATCATTTTGTAATCAGACAAAAGAAAAGACTCCATCTGAGAACCAAAGAAGTGAAACTCGAAACATTGAGATGAGAGACACTAAGATTCAGTGTGTGCCAAAGCATGTTAAAATTCAATCCATGGTTGACGTTGGAAATTTGTGTTTGGGTTGAATCAATTCAGAAAGAAGATAATGGCTGACTCAACATGCAAAACTGTTTCACATGAATAAGGACAAGAAAAATTTGCTCTTACCTCCTATTTTACATGTTAATTTCCTTTAAATTCAAGACCCTTTTGTACAGAGAAAATGGCCATCACAGTGACAGCTTGATCTTCTAAATAGTCCCCAGATAACCCTAATTAAAAATCATAACCTGTTTTCTATCTTCATGATGTAGCCCCTGGAGACAAAGCAATGAGTACAGCTATGTTTTTGTTCAGAAATCATATCAAAACATAGTTTGCACTTCCTAGTTTGCAAAAATCACTTCCAATTATGATTTTAGATTACAATTTCTAATTCTGATTCCCAATTAGAAAACCATAGTTTATCAATCAGTTGAGGCATCATACCATGTTGTAAGTTATGCTTTTATGTAATACTTGAATTAATCTTAAATAAATCTATATATTGTTTACTGGCTATTTTATTTTACTATTCATATTACACCCTGCAACCACAGACAGAGGAATCAAGATTGTTTTCCTCATCATTCCTTCACTTGGAGGCCAAACACTGAGGTGACCAAGTAATGGCTTGACCATTTAGGCTAAACTCTGATGCAAATATACTTGGTCCATTGAAAGTCTACTAACTTTTCATCAAAGATGCACTGTCACTTAAAACATAAAACATCATATATATTTCATACAAATGCTGTTGCATTGCTGCCTCGGGCTCTTTCTGAAAAAAAGAATATGGCAACTGTTAATGTATTTCTAATGGCCATCTTTCCATTCTTATGACCATATTTCAAGAATATTTTGCCCATTCTTCCAGTTCAAAAAGTCCAATTCAAGAAGTTAAGTACACTCATAGACATGTACTTAACCACTGTGAAGACCATCCTTTTGGGCTAGAGATGACATATTCAATGTAGATGGCATAAGGGAATAGCCAAGGACAGTGGAAAGTAGTAGAGGGATCTGTTATGTCTGCTGCAACAAAGCTAGAGCCTGAAATTGGAATAAATAGCCAAAAATGAACTAGCTTGTGTCTTTGATTTGGCTTTTCACACTAAGACAGTACTAAGATGGGGCTACACTTGAAGAGTATCTGGAAGCTACAGCTGGTTCAAAATGCCGCCACGCAGGAAATCTTAGGTGCCCCAAGGATGGCACATGTAACACCTTTGCTGCGGGAGCTGCATTGTTTTCCAG